TTGCATATAACTTTGTCTTTGGAGGACACTTCTATAGCTTTTTGTGAATGTGAAATCTCTTTCACAGCTTCACCCCTTCATAAGAAAAAACCAAAAGTTCAGTAACCATACGTGAAATTAACCCTCAAACACACAATCAAAGTCATATGAGTCTTTTTACAGGATTTGAACTTGATGAGTTTGATCTTTAATGTTACGGATTCAAGAATCTAATATTTTGAACAATAATATATGAAGATTCAATAAATTTCATACCAAGACTTATTTGTGAGTCTCATGAGATTATAAGTCCAAGCACCAAAAATGGCCCCCAAAGTTGGCCCAATAATGTAAATCCATAACCCTTTGTAATGACCTGTAACAATTGCTGGTCCCAAACTTCTTGCTGGGTTCATTGATGCCCCTGTTAGTGGTCTGTATTTCAACAAAATCATATGTTTTACCGCATCGACTCAAGTGAAGCAAATCAAAGTAGAAATGAAAAGAAAAAATGATATTGAAGAAAAATATAACAACTAATATAATGAGAGCAAAGCATAATATATGTCTATGCAAGAAACTGTAACATCAATAACAAAATTGTAATCATCTAAACATAATAAACAACAGATGATCACAGATACCAAAAGCCAAAGACTAAATGACTAATTTAGATATAATATGGTTCTATAAATAGTCAAATACAATATACTTTCAACATGATGGGACCAAAATAATAACTTGAAATGAAAAGAGAAGTACCCAGAGAACAATATATCAAGTGAAACAGTGGCTCCAATTGCAACACCAGATAAATGTTTCATCTGCATCAATTCCAAATTATAACATATACTTAATTTAACACGGTATACGTTAAATTATATTGATAGTGTAAAAAAAAAAAAAACTTTGATCGCGAAATGAAACTAACAGCTCGATCATCAGTAGCAACACCAGCAATGACAAACATGAGGTAAAATGTGGCTATAAACTCAAGTATCAAAGCTTGTAAATTTGTTCCTGCTGGAACTGTTCCTACAAATTGATCTTCTTTGCCATTAAATATTAGTCGAAGGGATCCACTAGCGAGAATGGATCCCACGACTTGTACCAAAATATAAGCTGGAACCTACACAATAATATAATTCAATATCAACAACAACAACAACAATAATATTAAACGATATGATGATATTAATACGTTCGTTCTGTTTTACCTGAATCCATGGAAACATTTTGCTTGTGGCAAATGCAATTGTTACAGCAGGGTTAAAATGTGCACCGGAGACATGTCCAACGGAGTAAATTAAAACCATGACAACAAGTCCCCAAACAGATGCGATTCCAGGTAGTGTGACAACGTTGTTCTTGTTTATATTCAAAATTATAGCAGCACAACCAGCAAATATCAACATGTACGTTCCCACGAACTCTGCTATCAACTACGAGAACAAACGTTTTTCGCGTTTAAATGATATGATTATACAAAATTCAACATGATAGATGATCAGACAATGGTTCATGGATCCAAAATCTTGAATAATTCCATTTTGATTCGAGCAGTTCAAACATGACCATTTATTGATCAAATTACTATATAACTAAATCAAAATTGACTCAACCTGCTCATCTGACACTCTATGTAACTTGAAAATCAAAACTCAAATTTAATCATTAAGATCAATTTTGTGAAGTGAGAGTACCTTTTGCACGAAATGTACGCTCATAAAGCATTTTAAGTGTTTTTGAGGAGTAGTAATAGAGGATGGTAATGGTGATGGACAATCATTGATCCTTAACGAAGTTGCTCGAATTCCTTCAATTTCTGGTATTTCCTCCATAGTAACTTGTGATTTGATTAATTATTGGCTCCAGTAAATGATAAAATGGATGAGCAAGAACTAATTAAGCATGTTCCAAACCTTTATGAGTCCCTTTGTTGACTTTTTATCAGGTACTTGTATAGTTGTATAATTGAAATTGACAAAAAAATTATTTATTTATTGTGTGGAGGGGTGGAATAATTGATTATAATTTATAGGAAATTACGTAGTTTATCAATTAATATATACTTAAACTGAATATTGTCAACTTATTACGCACGTATTAATGGAAATTGAAAGCTCTCAATACAAAATGTTATTGCACTTACTATATATGCAATAATTAATTGAACAAGTTGTAAGTAATTTATAATTAATTGAACAAGTTGTAAGTAATTTATAATTAATTGAAAAAGTAGTAAGTAGTGAAGCTTACCCGCAACCGAAATAGGGAATTGCTTCTGCAGAAACGCAAGAAAATGCGCTCGAGCATAAGGACTCACAACACACCTAATCCTGTCTGGCGCGAGCCATAAGAGTATAAATCCGTGAGGCACTCTCTTTCTCTGCCTTTTCCTTGGGACACATGCTTAGGAACTTGCTGGCTATTGAAAGCCATCCTAAACTTTTTTATCAGAAATTGATTTAACGCCAATAATATTCAAGCAAATAATATATAATTGAGCTTCTGAGCCAATACTCATAACAATCGACATGTAAATGTCAAACACACATATGATAAAAGCTCAAAGTCAACCAATATACAAAATAATTGAATAGGAAGGAGGGGCGGAGCTACGATTCCATCTATAAATTCGACGGAACTTAATAATTTTATTTATAATATCGGGTTTTTTCCTCCAAAATGAAATGAACATATTTATTAATATTTTAAAATTAGAATTTATATTTAAAAATTATATAAAAAAAAAAAATTTTAAAAAATAAATTGGACTGGCCCGGCGTGACCCGTACCCCACGTATTGGTGGATGAGTTTGATGTTTTCCAGCCCATCAAAATAATGGGTCAGTCTACTGTAACCCATCAAACTCCAAAGTCCGTATAGGCTAACTTGGATGGATTGGGCCGATCTATATTGACAGCTCTTGAGAGATAAATATAGATTACTAAATAGTACTATAATGATTCAGTATATCTACAAATCGATAACCAACAAATCAAATTGATAGACTTGAAAATCAAATCAAATCGATAAATACTCATCCCTATCACAAAGTAAGCATATTTCATATTATCTGCCTAAAATTTAAACATCGTGCATTTGCAAAGCTTATTTCAATTTACTATAAATTTATGGGAAAATGCATAAGTAACTCCCCAGCCTATGCCCAAAATCCTTGAGACACACCTAACCTTTACTAAGGTCCTATTACCCCCCGAACTTATTTTTTAGTTAATTGTTTACCACTTTTCGGCCTACGTGGCTGAGTCCGTGATTTCACCTATATTAGGCGCGTGGGTGCAACTTTTAGACAACACTGACCAATAAAAATTGGTCATGTGTTAAAATAAACTTGGAAAAAATAAATATTAACTCAATTGTCTTCTTCTTTATTATTGTTCTTCATGTTTGGAAAAAAAACCTCCATTATCATAACTTAAATTGCTCCTTTCTTCGAAAAGCTAACAAAATAAAATCAAGAAAAAACTAACCTTTGAACTCAATCACGATTCTTGATGACTTAGAAGTAGGGGTGTACATAGGTCGGTTTGGTTTGGTTTTTCATTAAAAAAAACCTAAACCAATTATGTCGGTTTATTAAATCTAAATATCAAATCAAACCACGCAAAGTCAGTTTTTTCGGTTCTTTCGGTTTTTTACAACTTAACGGTGTTTGAAAAAGAGATCAAATATATTTTCACCTACCTGTGTGATAAGCTAAACTTAAGAAACGTTAAATGAATAGAAATTTTCGTAAAGATGGTAAAATTCACATGAGTACAAAATATATTTTTTTGAAATAAAATATATAAACATTGAAAACTATAAACTAACTAAAAATATATTAACAAAGTTATAATATTTTTTAATCTATAAATAAAATAAAATTATATTGAATAAATGGGAAAGACGTGGGTCTTGCCAGACCCCTGACATCGGGTGACAAACCTTGATGATGGCAATTTCAAAATAAAATAAAATATATATATATAATATTTACAAAATTTTACAAACCCAAATTTGAAATAAAATATATAAACTAACTAAAAATATATTAACAAAGTTATAATATTTTTTATCTATAAATAATATAAAATTATATATATAATATTTACAAAATTTTACAAGCCCAAATTTGAAATAAAATATATAAAAACATTGAAAGCTATAAACTAACTAAAAATATATTCACAAAGTAGATTATAAGTAATATTTTTTTATCTATAAATAAAATAAAATTATAGATATAATATTTACAAAATTTTACAAGCCCAAATTTAAAATAAAATATATAAACATTGAAAACTATAAACTAACTAAAAATATATTAACAAAGTAGATTATAAATAATTTTATATCTATAAATAAAATAAAATTATATATATAATATTTACAAAATTTTACATGCCCAAATTTGAAATAAAATATATAAACATTGAAATCTATAAACTAACTAAAAATATATTAACAAAGTAGATTATAAATAATAGGATAGCTTTTTGAAATTTTGGGAAGTGTAAAAGCTACTTTTTAGAAAGTTGAAAAAGTGGGGCCCGGCGCGTGTTGAACAAAGCTTTCAACCTATTTGGTTTATATTGCCACGTAAGCCGAAAAGTGGTAAACAATTAACTAAAAAATAAGTTCGGGAGGGTAATAGGACCTTAGTAAAGGTTAGGTGTGTCTCAGGTATTTTGGGCATAGACTGGGGAGGTACTTATGCATTTTCCCTAAATTTATATGTAAACAACTGTACTTTTCGTCCAAATATATGAAAACCACAGTTCATTTTACAATAATCAAATATAGTACAGTTTCATTAGTATAAAGACTAAAAATAATAATACATTTGATACACTTTCTTAACACAGAAGTTCGTATAACATACCTAAAGGGAGTATTATTTCATGTGAGAAAGAATGTATAGGTACGTATTAGCAATAACGTTATTAAATTGTTTAACGATAAAATTATCCTTTAATTCATTTACGGTTAATCAATGCATGACAATTCAATCAATATTTATCATCACATAAAAACACATTTATTAATCTTACAAACTTTAAATTATTCAAATATGCTTGCAACAAGACATTCAAATACTGTCAGATACATAGATCTGACTTTATTTTTCACAAACATAACAGTAATTGCATGCCAAACAACTGGCTTTATTTCACACAAGCATAATAATAACTTCATACCAAACAACTGGCTTTCCTTCACACCAACATAAGAGTAGTTTTATTTCATTTTGTGGCATAAACAATTTGCTTGAATTCCTGAACTTCCTTGAAATTCTCCCATTCCTTCACCCAAATCTTGGTCTTGTATATTTTCTTATATCCATCATCAGTTGCTACAAGTGTTATATAGTACATCATTCCAGCAACAACTTGTTCTTTCACATTCAAAACTTCTACAAACTCCAAATGAGCATTCTGAAAAATAGAGTATACGACATTCGTTCAAATGAAAGAATTATTAGATACTGCAGTAAATTCAGGATTTGAATATTATAGGTTTGAATGTGAAACTAAAATAAAAATAATAACAGAGGAATAAATCATTTGAATTGACCTCTTTCTTATTATAATCTTGAACAGCAAAACGAGCAAGATCTCGGAACTCGGGGTTATTTGGGAATGGAACGTCAGTAATGCCCCCAAGTTTTGCAATATCATCACCAACAAGCTTGAATTCTACAACTTTCTTGAAGTCCTCCCATTCTTTCACCCAAATCTTAGCTTCATATATTTTCTTCTTTCAAGCATCAGTTGCCGCAAGTGTTATATAGTACATCATTCCCGCAACAACTTGTTCCTTCACATTCAAAACTTCTACAAACTCCAAATGAGCCTTCTGAAAAATAGATTGTATATGACGTTCATTCAAATGAAAGAGTTATTAGATACTGTAGTAGATTCAGGATTTGAATATTATAAGTTTGAATGTAAAATTAAAAAAAAATTAATACTGAGTAAGTTATTATAATTAACCTCTTTCTTATTATGATCCTGAACAGCAAAACGAGCAAGATCTTGGAACACAAGGCTGTTTATGCCTTGAACATTGATAATGCCTCCGAGTATTGGGACATCATCACCAATAAAAAGCTTGAATTCTATGACTTTCTTGAAGTTCTCCCATTCCTTAACCCAAATTTTAGCTTCATATATTTTCTTCTTTCCAGCATCATCAATTGCCACAAGTGTTATATAGTACATCATTCCAGCAACAACTTGTTCCTTAACATTCAAATTTTCTACAAACTCCAAATGAGCTTTCTGAAAAATGTATATGATGTTCGTTCAAACGAAAGAATTATTAGTTACTATAATAGTTTTATAATTTGAATGTGAAACTAATGAAAAAATTAAAAAGGAGTAAGTCATTTTAATTAACCTCTTTCTTATTATAATCTTGAACAGCAAAACGAGCAAGATCTTGGTATTCGGGGTTGTTTGGGAATGGAACATTGATAATGCCCCCAGACTTTGCACTATCATCACCAACAAGCTTGAATTCAACAACTTTCTTGAAGTTCTCCCATACCTTAACCCAAATCTTAACTTCATATATTTTTTTCTTTCCACCATCTGTTGCCGCAAATGTTATGTAGTACAACATTCCAGCAACAACTTGTTTTTTCACATTCAAATTTTCTACAAACTCCAGATGAGCATTCTGAAAAATTGATTGTATATGACGTTCGTTCAAATGAAAGAATTATATACTAGATACAGTAGTGGATTCTGAATTTGAATATTATAGGGTTGAATGTGAAATTAACTAGAAAAAAAATAGAAGATGAGTAAGTCATTGTAAATAACATGGTTCTTATTATATTGGTGAATAGCAAAACGTGTAAGATCTTGAAACTCGGGGCTGTTTGGGAATGGAACTTCGGTAAAGCCCCCAAGTATTTTCGCACTATCATTACCAACAAGCTTGAAGTCTATAACTTTCTTGAAGTCTTCCCATTCCTTCACCCAAATCTTGGCTTCATATTATTTCTTATTCCCGGCATCAGTTGCCGCAAGTGTTATGTAGTACATCATTCCAGAAACAAGTTGTTCTTTCACATTCAAATTTTCTACAAACTCCAAATGAGCATTCTGAAAAGTAGATTGTATATGACATTTGTTCAAATGAAAGTATTTTTAGATACTGCAATAGATTTAAGATTTGAATAGTATAGGTTTTAATGTGAAATTAACAAAAAAATAGAAACTAAAAGTAAGTCATTATATATAATTGACCTGTGTATTATTATAATCCTGAACAGCAAAACGAGCAAGATCTTGGAACTCGGGGCTGTTTGGGTTTGGAACATTGATAATGCCCCCAGTTTTTGCACTATCATCACCAACAAGCTTGAATTCTACAACTTTCTTGAAGTCCTCCCATTCCTTCACCCAAATCTTTGTTTCGTATATTTTCTTCTTTCCAGCATCAATTGCCGCAAGTGTTATATAGTACATCATTCCAGCAACAACTTGCTGTTTAACGTTCAAATTTTCTACAAACTCCAAATGAACATTCTGAAAAATAGATTGTATATGTCATTCGTTCAAATGAAAGAATTATTAGAAATTGTAGCGGATTCAGAATTTGAATATTATAAGTTTGAAGGTGAAACTAGCGAAAAATAAAAGAGGAGTAAGCCATTTGAATTAACCTCTTTCTTATTATAACCTTGAATAGCAAAACGAGCAAGATCTTGGAACTCGGGGTTATTTGGGAATGGAACATTAGTAATGCCCCCAAGTTTTGCAATATCATCACCAACAAGCTTGAATTCTACAACTTTCTTGAAGTCTTCCTATTCCTTCACCCAAATCTTAGCTTCGTATATTTTCTTCTTTCCAGCATCATCAGTTGCCGCAAGTGTTATATAGTACATGATTCCAGCAACAACTTGCTCTTTAACATTCAAATTTTCTACAAACTCCAAATGAGCATTCTGGAAAATAGATTGTATATGATGTTGGTACTACTGTAGTGAAATCGGGATTTAATTATGAAATTAACGAAAAAATAAAAGAGGAGTAAGTCATTATAACTAACCTGTTTTTTATTATAATCCTGAATAGCAAAACGAGCAAGTTCTTGAAACTCGGTGTTGTTTGGGTTTGGAACATTGACAATGCCCCCAGGCATTGTACTGTCATCACCAACAAGCTTAAATCCTACAACTTTCTTCAAGTCCTCCCATTTCCTCAGCAAAATCTTGGCTTCATATTCTTTCTTGTTTCCACCTTCAGTTGCCTCAAATGTTATATAGTACATTATTCCAGCAACTATTTGTTGCTTCACGTTCAAAACCTTTTTAAACTCCAAACTAGAATCCTGAAATACAAAATATATGTTGTTGAAATGAAACAATTATGAATAGTCATCTGAATCAACTAATTATTCACAAAGTAATTAAGCATTTCAAAATTAATTATATATTCTTCGAAGAGTCATCTGCTTATTTGTAACATTAATGCATTTTAAATGTTGTGCACGGATGATGTGTAGATATTTTACACTATCAATTATGTTAACTAAGACATGTAACTTTTCATAACAAAGCTAAGATGGCCTTCATATATAATCGAAGTAAATGAAAAATAATTCTTTACATTTTTCTGATTGTAATCTTGGACAGCAAAACGAGCAAGATCATCAAACTCGACTTTGTTTTCGAATGGAACATCGACAAGGCCTCCTACGATTGCCATCACTGCGAATAATTAATAACTTAATTAAGAATTAAGAAGGAATATTAATTTTGTGATGAGAAGAAGGTGAACATAGCTGCTTTTTATAGAGAAAAAAAGGCTAGCACGTTATAAATATTTTGATTTGATGGATTTGGATTTTAGCTTCCAACTAACCAAAAAAGTTTTAAAAAAATAAAAATAAAAAGACTCATTTTTATAATTATCCAATATTCATATCAACATTCCAGTAACAAGTTGTTCTTTCACATTCAAATTTTCTACAAACTCCAAATGAGCATTCTGAAAAGTAGATTGTATATGAAATTCGTTCAAATGAAAGTATTATTAGATAATATAGTGGAATATCTGGATTTGAATATTATAGATTTGAATGTGAAACTAACGAAAAAATTAAAAAGGAGTAAGTCATTTAAATTAACCTCTTTCTTATTATAATCTTGAACAGCAAAACGAGCAAGATCTTAAATGGTAAATATTCCCCCCTCGCGCCGTCGTCGTCGTCGTCGTCGCTCGGCCTCGGCCTCGGCTTCAGCTTTGGATTTGATGTGATTGATTGATAATATTTTTGGACAAAATTTATTTAATCAATCTTGTTAAATCATTTCCTTTCTCTTATAAATTAATTCAGAATGTTAATTAAATAACATAATTAATTTGGCGGAACTGAATTTATTTGAAATTCACGTGTAACGGTAATCCTTCCAAAAAGTCGTTACTTTTCCCAAACGGTAATCCTTCTGAAAAGTCGTTACTTTTCCCAAAGGGCACAATGTTCTGGAAAAAATGGGTCTGAACAGATTTTCTGAACAGACGCGTTCCTTGCTGCAAATGACTATAAATAAGAGGTCTTTTTCGTTTTTTCAAACACTGAAATTTTTCCTCTCTGAATACATTTTCTTACATAAATAAAATTGTCGATCGACTGAGTCTGTGTGTGCTCTTGTTGTTGTTCTTGTGTTCGCTGAAGTTATTGAAGTTTGAGGTACCGCTACTTCTTTAACAGGTTAATCCGTTTTATCTTGGGAGGAATTAATCTGCAACCTCGGGTACAGTGAGGGGATTAAATTTCTTAAGGAAACACAGTGATTTCTGTGGACTCGGATTAAAAATCATTCTGTCAATTTCATCTTTTTTCTGTTTCTGTATTTTTGACTAACCTGAATACAGGAGATAACAACTCCTAAGGCCATTTATCTTCACTATTTACTACCCATTATCTTCCTATCAATTGGTAGGAAGACTTCCTCAACTATAAATAGTGATAGTGTTCATTTGGTTTGTGAGATACAACACACAAGAAAAATATAGAGTGAAAGAGTTAGTCAAAAAAGAGAGTTCTTATTAGTTGAAGGAAGGTGTTCTTTTTGTGGAGCTTTGAACTCAACTCTTGTTCATGGTTGTTGAGTTATATATTGTGAATAGGTTGTTGTATCCTGGAGGGGACAAGTCAAGAAGGACTACTGCTGGACCGGTGAGAACATTTGCTGCAGTGGACTTGAATCTCCTTAAAGAGAGCGAGATATCCGCGCCTCAGCCTAAAGAGATTTAATTTCTTCATATTTATTTTCAATTGTAATCTTGTATTTTTTGTTATCTTGTAAGTTTTTCACTAACAATTAATATTTTAAAATTAGAGTTTATATTTAAAAATTATATAAAATATTTTTTTTCAAAAAATAAATTGGACTGGCCCGGCATGACACATACCCCATGTAGTGGTGGATGAGTTTGATGTTTTCCAGCCCATCAAAATAATGGGTCAGTCTACTGTAACCCATCAAACTCCAAAGTCCATATAGGCTAACTTGGATGGATTGGGGCGATCTATATTGATAGCTCTTGAGAGATAAATATAGAATACTAAATAGTATTATAATGATTCAGTATATCTACAAATCGATAACCAACAAATCAAATTGATAGACTTGAAAATCAAATTGAATCAATAAATACTCATCCCTATCACAAAGTAAGCATATTTCATATTATCTGCCTAAAATTTAAACATCGTGCATTTGCAAAGCGTATTTCAATTTACTATAAATTTATATGTAAACAACCGTACTTTTCATCCAAATATATGAAAACCTTACAATATTCAAATATAGTACAGTTTCATTAGTATAAAGACTAAAAATAATAATACATTTGATACACTTTCTTAACACAGAAGTTCGTATAACATACCTAAAGGGAGTATTATTTCATGTGAGAAAGAATGTATAGGTACGTATTAGCAATAATGTTATTAAATTGTTTAACGATAAAATTATCCTTTAATTCATTTACGGCAAATCAATGCATGACAATTCAATCAATATTTATCATCACATAAACACACATTTATTAATCTTACAAACTTTAAATTATTCAAAAACGCTTACAACAAGACATTCAAATACTTTCAGATACATAGATCTGACTTTATTTTTCACAAACATAACAATAATTGCATGCCAAACAACTGGCTTTATTTCACACAAGCATAATAGTAACTTCATACCAAACAACTGGCTTTACTTCACACCAACATATGAGTAGTTTTATTTCACTTTGTGGCATAAACAATTTGCTTGAATTCCTGAACGTCCTTGAAATTCTCCCATTCCTTCACCCAAATCTTGGTCTTGTATATTTTCTTATATCCAGCATCAGTTGCTACAAGTGTTATATAGTACATCATTCCAGCAACAACTTGTTCTTTCACATTCAAAACTTCTACAAACTCCAAATGAGCATTCTGAAAAATAGAGTATACGACATTCGTTCAAATGAAAGAATTATTAGATACTGCAGTAAATTCAGGATTTGAATATTATAGGTTTGAATGTGAAACTAACATAAAAATAACAGAGAAATAAATCATTTGAATTAACCTCTTTCTTATTATAATCTTGAACAGCAAAACGAGCAAGATCTCGGAACTCGGGGTTATTTGGGAATGGAACGTCAGTAATGCCCCCAAGTTTTGCAATATCATCACCAACAAGCTTGAATTCTACAACTTTCTGGAAGTCCTCCCATTCTTTCACCCAAATCTTAGCTTCATATATTTTCTTCTTTCCAGCATCAGTTGCCGCAAGTGTTATATAGTACATCATTCCCGCAACAACTTGTTCCTTCACATTCAAAACTTCTACAAACTCCAAATGAGCCTTCTGAAAAATAGATTGTATATGACGTTCATTCAAATGAAAGAGTTATTAGATACTGCAGTAGATTCAGGATTTGAATATTATAAGTTTGAATGGAAAATTAACCAAAAAAAATAATTAAAAATGAGTAAATTATTATAATTAACCTCTTTCTTATTATGATCTTGAACAGCAAAACGAGCAAGATCTTGGAACACAAGGCTGTTTATGCCTTGAATATTGATAATGCCTCCGAGTATTGGGACATCATCACCAATAAAAAGCTTGAATTCTATGACTTTCTTGAAGTTCTCCCATTCCTTCACCCAAATTTTAGCTTCATATATTTTCGTCTTTCCAGCATCATCAGTTACCACAAGTGTTATATAGTACATCATTCCAGCAACAACTTGTTCCTTAACATTCAAAATTTCTACAAACTCCAAATGAGCTTTCTGAAAAATGTATATGACATTCGTTCAAACGAAAGAATTATTAGTTACTATAATAGTTTTAGAATTTGAATGTGAAACTAACGAACAAATTAAAAAGGAGTAAGTCATTTTAATTAACCTCTTTCTTATTATAATCTTGAACAGCAAAACGAGCAAGATCTTGGAATTCGGGGTTGTTTGGGTATGGAGCATTGATAATGCCCCCAGGCTTTGCACTATCATCACCAACAAGCTTGAATTCAACAACTTTCTTGAAGTTCTCCCATACCTTAACCCAAATCTTAGATTCATATATTTTTATCTTTCCACCATCTGTTGCCACAAATGTTATGTAGTATAACATTCCAGCAACAACTTGTTTTTTTCACATTCAAATTTTCTACAAACTCCAGATGAGCATTCTGAAAAATTGATTGTATATGACGTTCGTTCAAATGAAAGAATTATATACTAGATACAGTAGTGGATTCTGAATTTGAATATTATAGGGTTGAATGTGAAATTAACTAGAAAAAAAATAGAAGATGAGTAAGTCATTGTAAATAACCTGGTTCTTATTATATTGGTGAATAGCAAAACGTGTAAGATCTTGAAACTCGGGGCTATTTGGGAATGGAATTTCGGTAAAGCCCCCAATAATTTTTGCACTATCATTACCAACAAGCTTGAAGTCTATAACTTTCTTGAAGTCCTCCCATTCCTTCACCCAAATCTTGGCTTCATATTCTTTCTTATTCCCGGCATCAGTTGCCGCAAGTGTTATATAGTACATCATTCCAGAAACAAGTTGTTCTTTCACATTCAAATTTTCTACAAACTCCAAATGAGCATTCTGAAAAGTAGATTGTATATGACATTTGTTCAAATGAAAGTATTATTAGATACTATAATAGATTTAAGATTTGAATATTATAGGTTTTAATGTGAAATTAACAAAAAAAAAGAAAATAAAAGTAAGTCATTATAATTGACCTGTGTATTATTATAATCCTGAACAGCAAAACGAGCAAGTTCTTGGAACTCGGGGCTGTTTGGGTTTGGAACAATGATAATGCCCCCAGTTTTTGCACCATCATCACCAACAAGCTTGAATTCTACAACTCTCTTGAAGTCCTCCCATTCCTTCACCCAAATTTTAGTTTCGTATATATTCTTATTTCCAGCTTCAGTTGCCGCAAGTGTTATATAATACATCATTCCAGCAACAACTTGCTCTTTAACATTCAAATTTTCTACAAACTCCAAATGAGCATTCTGAAAAATAGATTGTATATGTCATTCGTTCAAATGACAGAATTATTAGAAACTGTAGCGGATTCATAATTTGAATATTATAAATTTGAATGTGAAACTAACGAAAAATAAAAGAGGAGTAAGCCATTTGAATTAACCTCTTTCTTATTATAATCCTGAATAGCAAAACGAGCAAGATCTTGGAACTCGGGCCTGTTTGGGAATGGAACAC